GGACAAACAGCCTCCAACTAGGCCGGGTATATTTTTCAGCCCACGCCTACAACCCGACCGGATATAATTTTCGGCCCACGCCTATAACCAGGCTGGGTAGTTTTTATTTTTTTTCATAGTAGGTCCCAAATTAGGCCCGCTCTGATACCATGTCAAACCGGGGGCAAATCGAGTGCGGTCCCACACAAGTGAAGCGCACCATAAGAGAGTTAGCCCAAATGAAGCCCAAGTGAGGTTCCATCTTAAAACCAATTGGTGATGTGAGAAGTAGTCCACCAGACTTATAAACTAGACTCATTTACCCTATCAAATCAACGTATGACAACTCACAAGTGATATTCTCAACAAAAATAGGTCTAGCTTACAAGTCACTCCTCTAATCACCATTTAATTTTGTTACCCTCACTAGTGCATCTAGACTCACCTTATTATGACGCGCCTGCATGAGCCCGCACTCGTTTACCACGGTTCTTTCAAAAATATTGTAATGGATTGAGGACAATATATTTTTAAACAAATATTATATTGAATTGAGTATGAATACGATGTTGTAAAATAAAGCAAAAATATTGTAATGAGGAAGTATCTCCTGGCCCCATCATATGCAATTGGCACCGTTAAAACCACTGCACTTTATTGTTTTCTTTTCTTTCACTCTCACATTCTAATGAGGAAATATCTCCTGGCCCCCTCATATTCAATTGGCACCGTTAAAACCACTGCACTTTCATTGTTTTTTTTGTTCTCTCACTCTCACAAGTGTCTCATGCACTTTTATGGAATCAAAGCTAAGATCCTTTGTTGATTCCCACTCTTTATTTGTGCACCCTCCATTTTTTCCACCTCACTATTGTTTTATTTGTATTTTTTTTTATTTTTTTTTTCTGGTCCAAGATATTTGCTTGTACTTTTTTCTTTTCAAACACGCAACCAAAAGCTGAGGGGACCCTCTTGATATCATGGCTAACAATCTAAAGATTTTGCTGTTTACAGCGCTAATTTCTTGGTTTCTTTATATGTACAACAAGTAAAGGTTTCATCTTTTTATCTTATTTATGAAGAATATTTGTGTAAGTTCTTGATAAACCTCAATTTTTTTCCCATTTCTGAATCTTTGCATCTGTCTCAGCTCTCCAATCTCTCAACCCCAGTTCATAAAAATCAAATCTTTATTAGTTCTTCAAGTAATTTAACTCATAAAGATGCTGTACTCAAAAGGGCTTCTTTCATTGCCTTCAAACCCCAAAATTGGAGCTTTCAATCCACAGTTATCACCGAGTTTAAGGTACAGATTGAACCCCAAAAACCCTTTAGTAAATCAGAATCATAGCAGAATCAACCCCTCTTTAGCTCTTGATGGCTTCTCAAAATTTCAAGAATTCTTGAAAAAACCTCAGTCCACTACCCAGAAGAATGGGAATTATTTCATTTGTAGAGCTGAGGCTGTTTCATCTTATGGGGGGGAGCCTTTGTCTGAAAAATTTATGGGAATTGAGCTTGTGACCTTAAAGAAAATTATCCCACTTGGCTTGATGTTTTTCTGTATTCTGTTCAACTACACAATTCTGAGGGACACTAAGGATGTCTTGGTGGTGACTGCTAAAGGTTCGAGTGCCGAAATCATACCTTTCTTGAAAACATGGGTGAATTTGCCTATGGCTGTTGGGTTCATGCTCTTGTACACCAAATTGGCTAATGTGCTGTCCAAAAGGGCTCTCTTTTACGCAGTTATTCTTCCGTTTATAGCCTTTTTCGGGTCGTTTGGGTTCGTGTTGTATCCTCTCAGCCCGTATTTTCATCCAACGGGCCTTGCGGATAAGCTTCTTGATGTTTTGGGCCCGAGGTTTATCGGGCCTCTTGCGATTATGAGGATATGGAGTTTCTGCTTGTTTTATGTGATGGCTGAACTTTGGGGAAGTGTTGTTATCTCTGTTCTCTTCTGGGGCTTTGCTAATCAGGTGATTAATTGTTTGCTTCTTTGTTTTCCTTCCCACTGATAATATTTTATGTTCTGTCATATAACTTTTTTCTCAACACTCACAGATCACTACTGTTGAGGAAGCAAAGAAATTTTACCCTCTCTTTGGACTCGGTGCGAATGTGGCCCTTGTTTTCTCAGGTCGAACCGTGAAATATTTTTCTCAGCTAAGGCAAAACCTTGGTCCGGGTGTCGATGGCTGGGCCGTATCTTTGAAGGGAATGATGAGTATTGTGGTTTTGATGGGGCTTATGATATGTTTTCTTTATTGGTGGGTGAATAAAAATGTTCCTCTTCCCACTCGTAGCCACAAGAAAAAGGTAAAAATTAGCTGGAGAAATTGAGTATAAGTATTTGTTGCTCTTATAACTTCGCCGTTTTCTGTTGTTTGTTAATTATGTGTGTGTGTGTGTGTGTGTGTGTTTTATGTATATTTCAGGAAAAGCCGAAAATGGGAACAATGGAGAGCTTAAAGTTTTTAGTATCTTCAAGATATATAAGAGATCTGGCTACTCTTGTTGTGGCATATGGTATTAGCATCAACCTCGTTGAGGTTACATGGAAATCAAAGCTTAAAGCCCAGGTAAAGTTAAAGAGAGAATTTGCAAATACAATTTGAAAACCTCAACAAGAGTGTGCATATAAATTGTATCGTTCGTCGTTTTCTCGGATAATGTCTTTGTTTTCAAGGATAGTTATCGTAAATTTGACCCCTTTTGTGTTAACCTCTGATCTAAAAATTTCACAGTTCCCAACGCCGAACGAGTACTCATCATTCATGGGCGATTTCTCGACTGCTACCGGTATAGCCACTTTTACCATGATGCTTCTGAGCCGTTGGATCTTCGACAAATACGGTTGGGGGGTCGCAGCTAAGATCACGCCCACTGTCTTGCTCTTGACGGGCTTTGCTTTTTTCTCTCTCATTCTTTTCGGGGGCCCATTTGGTCCTGCCCTTGCTAAATTCGGAATGAGCCCACTTTTGGCGGCCGTGTACGTTGGGGCAATGCAGAACATTTTCAGCAAGAGCGCGAAATACAGCTTATTTGATCCGTGCAAAGAGATGGCTTACATTCCACTCGATGAGGACACCAAGGTTGGTTGAATACTGTATTTTTCAGGCTTTAGAATCGAGTGTTATTCATATTCCTAACTTAGATGTGATTGAAATAGCTTCGTTTGTTATACTTTTGAATGTGAATTGACTTATGAGTCGGGTATCGTTATTGGTATTTATCGATTATGTTGAATATTGGTTTTTAGGTTAAAGGGAAGGCCGCTATAGACGTTGTATGCAATCCTTTGGGGAAATCGGGAGGCGCCTTAATCCAGCAATTCATGATTCTTACCTTTGGGTCCCTTGCGAACTCGACTCCTTATTTAGGTGGCATACTTCTATTAATCGTTCTTGCATGGCTTGGTGCCGCCGAGTCTTTGGACGGCCAATTCACGGCATTGAGGCAAGAGGAGGAGCTCGAGAAAGAGATGGAAAGGGCCGCCACAAAAATCCCGATCATGTCCAAAGATGAAATCTACAATAAAAATGATAATAATAATCATAATAATAATAGTAATATCATCATTGATGATGGCCCTTTTACGGGTGAGTCGAACCTAAACCCTACGGGAGGTGACACGTCCAGTGCCTCTTCTCCTAGAAGCGCTTGATCGTGTTTTTTTATAGAAAGATTGGTGAGTTAGGTTCGTTATAATGTTAAATTTTTTTTAATATCTTTGTCCTTGCAAAATTTTCAGACTTTGCATGGAGAACAGTGTTTTCAGATGTAGTATGATGCATATATGCATTTTGGTTCTTGGATGCATTGTCTTGTCTAACCTAATTTCTGATAATAACTGCTATAGCTATGAAAGTATTAATGAATGAATGTGTAATATGAAATACAAAGAACCCAAATATAATGAAAATATAAAATGGGATTTGTGTTCCATACAGACAAGATCATCCAAAACCCATCAAAACCAAGTATATTACAGTTTGAAGATTGTATTTTTTAAATAATAATAATAATAATTATGAATAAATTTTAAGCTGACCCAAATTCTGAAAACCACTTCTCGTGCTTCTCGATGTCGATAGCCGAGACACTCGGTTGAACCTTGGCAATGGCTTCAAGGAAGTCACACATGGCAACCGGGTCATTGGAGATCTCATCCTTTGACATGTTCTTGATTTCGTCTCGTGTTTTCCCAGCTATCTTGCGCCTCATCCCGTTAAGTGATGCATCCCGGCACACATTCGTCAGGTCATCCCCACTATACCCTTCTGTCTTCCGAGCCACCTCGTCTAGGTCCGCATCAGCAGCCACCTGGATTTAGTTGGTATGGACAAAAGAAAATTATTTCTTCTTCTTCTTCTTCACTTTTTTTTTTTTTTTAATTTAAAGAAAAGGGGATATAGCAACATGAAAATAAAGAATAAAAAGTCAGATGAAAATATAACAAAATTGAAACATTCGGTAGGATTTCAATGATTACACCCAATAAAGTACAATCAGAACTTCAATCACTTGGCTCTTTTTGTTTGGGCGAGTAAATGAAGGTGAAATTTGTAAAACAGGATAGATGCAGACATCAAAATGTAACCGTTGGGAGGGATATCCATTTTGTTAGTACACCAAAATGCATAGCCAAAAAGGTGATGCCACAAATGACAAAAACCACCAAAAGGAAGGAGTGTGTAAAGTATCGAGAAACAAAAAGCAATTGCTCGGTCAACAATACAGCATTAGTAGGGACTTTGTACAGACTGAAAAAAAGTTTGAACCAATGAATTACCTCCACGGTTTTCAAATTTATCCTAATAAGCTCCTTACGACTCTCGAAATTAGGCAATGGTATGTATATTCTTTTCTCCAGCCGCCTCCTACGTTCGCCGTGAATAAATCAGATAAAAGGGAACACAGAACTACAAAAGGTAGAAGCTTAAAGGAAAATATATAAAACAATTATTCACAATATAAGAAAGCGCGAAAACAAAGGCGAACCTCAACGCCTCATCTATATCCCAAGGAAAATTAGTAGCAGCTAAAACCATCACAATCTTGCGTGTACCATCCTCATTGGTTGAAGAAGCATTGACACCATCAACCTGAACCAGAAGCTCAGACTTCACCCTTCTGGATGATTCATGTTCTCCAGAAGCCCTAATGAAAAGCAAAAATCATGCACACAAAGAGTTAAGACCAAATAATAACAAAGGAAAAAAAAAAAAAGGCAAAAAAGGTGAACTTACCCACGAGCATTGCAAAGAGAATCAATCTCATCTATGAATATTGTACTGGGAGCATGAGCCCTTGCAAGATCAAACAAGCACCGGACCATTCTCTCACTTTCTCCACGCCATTTTGAGGCCAAAGTTGCTGAAGAAACATTAAAGAAAGTTGTTCCACACTCGGTGGCAACTGCTTTAGCAAGAAGAGTTTTCCCAGTTCCTGGAGGCCCAAACATGAGGACACCTTTCCATGGCCTCCGAATTCCCTAAAACCCAGATGCTTTCAGTTCTGCATGTTCGTTTAAAATGCATTTTTTTCCCAGTAAAGTAATAAATTACAATTATAATCTACTTCAGGCTCCAGGTGATGTTAGACATGCATCTTCACCAGAAGTAAGGATAATACAACATAAAGAGTGAAGAGAATCTTTCTTACTTTAGGGAATTTGGCGAACATGACACATAATAAGTTTTTCATCTTGTATGATGTATCTAATATATGGTACCTGAAAATAGTCAGGCATCAACAACGGAAGAACCACAGCTTCCTCTAAAAGTCGTTTGGCTTCAGTAAGCCCAGCTACATCATCCCATCTAACACCAGGGCTGGAGTCCAAGACATCCCTTTCAAGCATAGCAGCCAAGTCAGCATCAGGACCTTCATATTGAACTTTTTTGGGCTTGCCATCCTCAGAATCACCATTCTGAAAATATGTAGTGAATTAAATAAAATCAAGAGAAAGAATACACCAACATGCAGTCAAAGCACAACCAGTCATAGATCCTCACAAGAAGCCTAAAGCCGGCAAGCGGCAAGCATGATTCAGGATGCCCTCTACCAAATCTATGGACTGAACATTCTTACTACTCCCTTTTGAGAATAAAAGAGCACCTCTAGTAATATTATAATTTCTTACTATTGATTAACTCTTTTATAAGCTTAGGGCATTCATGTGTGGGACCAAAAGTCAACACCAAGAAGGTAATCAGAAATATCAGCATAGAACTTTAATTAAGGTTCTTTGACTAAATCACCGTATTAACCATTATGGCACTGGATACTTAGATAGCTAGTCACGTGCAACAAAGCAAAGAACAGATTATATAGTTCAATCATTTTGTTGATTATTATGCAGATAGCATTTAAGTAGCAGATGAAACTACACGTATGAAAAGAATAAATTCACATGCAATAGGCTGAAGTACAGCAAGCGACTTAGAGGGAATTAAGAATAAGTGAAGGCAAGCGACTTAGAGGAAATTAAGAATAAGTGAAGGCACCCATGGTTATTGGCCTAAACTATCACTTATGCGAGGGTTTACACAGAGCAGCTTATAGTCTCACTGAACATATTCAGTGAGTAAATTTTAAGAAACAATGAGAATAACTGCACATTTGTGGCCTTCACCACATTCTAATGTTCTGGCATGCAACATACTACAAAGCAAAGAAGTAATTGTACTATTATGGTCCCAATAAACTCATATAAAACCCTCCAACATATCTGCTGAGGAAAAACTAAAACAAAAAACTGATACGAGCATTCGGGTGTTTATTTCTATCCAACTACATGATAGTGAAACCACCTCACCTACCGAATAACCAGCAGTTATCAATAAAGTGGAGCACACTTAGCAGGAACATATTCACTTGCTGTTCTCAGAAAGATCAAAACAAGCAAGATGGTAACAGCCAAACTAACTTTGTGTTACAACGGGTCAATCACTTAAACATTACCAAATATATTGGATTCCCAGTGTCGTCAACAATTGTCTACGTACAAGACCAACTTAAGAATTAAAGCTTTAACCATGATTACTTACAACAGAATCTGCTTTTCCAGAGCTTGATTTCACAGAGCCTTTCTTCCCAGCCGTGGATGATCGAACTCCTGTGTTGACTTTACTAGTGGCACCAGTCCTCCCCCCACGTGCAGTTGTTCTAGTGGATCCACCACGGGCCCAAGCTCCGTCCTGTGGAGACTTTCTCATGCCCACTTGACCCGCTCTCGTAGGCCTCCTACCTGTAGGATCCCGAGTAGGAGGCCTCCACACATCAGGGTCTTCCATCGGAGCCCCAGAAGAAGTGGGATATTCATCCAACGGTTGAAAAACAAAAGAAGACTTGGTTGAAATAGGAGGAGAGCTGGGCCGCCTGCCAACAGGAACCTCCTTGAACGACTTTTTCTCAGCATCCAACTGCTTCACCACCTCCGTTTCTTCAGAAATAGCTTTCTTTACGTTCATCCATTTAGTACGAAGCACGGGATCATCCACTGTATTCAAATGCCTATAAAATCACAAAAAGGAAAAAAAAAAAAAAAAAAA